CAAAACAACAATCTCACTTCGATACATACATTTTAAAGGGAGCCATGAAATATACTTTTTTATGTCACATGGGATTTTGATGAAACTTTCCACAAGTGCTGCCCATCTCAAAGTTTGACGACGAAATCTTTTGACCTCCCTATCTCTTACCATTCAGAAGCTTTTTCAGAGTCCAACTTTACTCTAAACTTCAGGATGCAGGAGTTTTTTTTGTTTAAGATACATCGATGATACTTTTCTATTATTAGATTCAAATGTGTCACCTCATAATATGTTAAAATGACTTAACTCATTTCATCCAGATATGAAGTTTTCTTTTGAAAATGAAAATAATGATATGCTCTCATTTCTTGACGTCCAAGTCATACGCACGATTACAAAATATCAAACTACTATATATAGGAAAAAGACTTTCTCGGGTTTATTAACTAAATGGACTTCTTATGTTCCATTTAGCTATAAAATTGGATGTATAAGTAGTATGGTAGTTCGTGCTACACATATATGTTCGACATATAAACCTCTAACAGACGAACTAGGTGAAATTAGACGATTAAGTAAATTAAATGGATATCCACCGACGTTTGTCGATACTTTAATTAGAAAACTGATAAATAAACATTTGATCAAAACTGATAACATTGAATAAACAGAAAATAATTTACCCCAAAAACGACCGGTTGTCGATATTCCATATATCCAGCAAGCGTCCAAAGTTTTGGGTGGAAAATTAAAAAGATTCACAGAAACTAATAAATCTGATATCTCGCCTAGCGTAGCGTTCCAACGAAATCTATACTTTTTTTCAACGTTGGTATAGCTAAGTGTCTTGTACAATTCTGTAGTAGAAGCAAGCTCTCGAGTTCTTTTGCCTTTGAAGAAAACGTCACCGACCGAAAAAAGAGTAAGTTCGTTACATTTGGAATGGCCGTAAACTATACGTTGTTGCCAGTTTTTCACTCGTGACCGGTCTTTGGCAAGATACTCGATCGACTGGAGCCGTCTCTCTTAAAACGATAAAGAGAGATAGATATACTTCATGCACATGTATTTTGAGAAAAGAGAACGATTATGAGGCGCAAATAAATCCTTCTCTGAATGAACGTGAAAAAAACGGATATATCCAGTTCTACACATTTTAATTGCTAAAATCGATATATTATTAATATATTAAGTATCCTAAAAATGTTGGATGCTTTAACATAAACCGACATATAGACTACCATTCGATTAGGGCTTTTTACGAAACTTCGAAGATTTTAACTTTAAATAATCCTGTACAAAAAATGAACCTTTCAAGTGTAGCTGTCACTTTCACTCCGAGTTATAACAATTTTATTGAAAACGGGAACAAATAGGGTGAAAGTAAGTTTGAAGCTGAGACTTTCTGAAAATATTTCACCTACTGCTTTTTCACCATAGGCTTCCTTGACTATATTTCTGCGTGGTGCTCATGTACATTGATCACAGAAGCTATGGTAGAACGGACGATCTTTAATTTCTCAGAGTCGTGGTGTCGTGTATCTTTGAATAGTGTTTACTCATTCTCAATAGAGTTCTGAAACTATAGAAAAGTTAACCTCGAAACTTTGGGCGAATAATCCATACATACTGCCGTATATTTGCTGCAATTTTTGAACCAAAGCATTCCTACACTGGGTTATAAATTTTTTTTGCAAAGGACCTGAAATTTTCAACAAAAAAACAGAGAGTCGCGCTTGTAAAATAGCTATATTTCACTAACCACTAACAGCCAAGTCATAAAAGATTATATTGTAGATAGGGTAGAGTCGTGGCTAGGGTTCTAAAAGTTCCCGTTACTTCTTCGACCGTTAACGACAACGCTAACGGAAAACACAATTACCGTTAAAATAACGGTAACTAACTTATCAGTTAGCGTTAAAACAAAGGTAACTGAAAAGACAGTTCCTGTTACTTTAATGATAATTGCATTTCCAGTTACCGTTGAAATAACAGTAACTATCAGTTAGTTAACTGTGTGGTAACTATTTTTTATGTATGGCAGAAATATCCACGCAACGGCTTAAAATGGCTTCCAAAATCGCTACTTTTCCACTAAAACTTTTGAATCTTTCATACACATTTTATGTTTCATTTAGCATCAACTAACGTAAGAATAAGAATGAAAAAGAAATTTCCAACTACGTCTTGATGTATGAGCACAGGTACACATTATTACGTAAGTGATTGATTTCATTCAAACATGCGACTCGAACCTTTTTCTGATTTACTGTATGAAAGAAAGTTTATCTGGAAGGCAAAATACGTGTTTATTTTGGTATGTAAAGGACGTAAGCGGTTGGAAAAAGCCAACTTAACAAAAATAGTAATCATAATTTACTGTCATTTTATGTATACTTCTGATACCAACTCAATACAACATAGTAAAGAACTGACCGCACTAAACATTTTGTACGTGAGTATCCTACTTCTATTCTCCTTCTTGTGGTTCTCCTTTTGTGGTGTTAGCAAAGCGAATGAGGAAGCAATTTTCATATGGTCAAAAAAGGTTCGATTTTAAAAAATTTCTTTTGTGTTGGCTAGTTATCCAAATAGGAACAACTCTGCAAAACGCTAACTTTTGTCAACCGAAGATTTTTTAAATACCTGTGTAACGTCAGCGAAGTGGTACTCTTTTTAAGTCAAAATTATTAGCATGGCGCCCATAATGAAATATGTTAGAAAGATAAGAAATTGGATTAGGAGGAGCATGAAAAGCAAAATCCTGTCCTCTCGGTAACGTCTCCACTTGCGTCACAACGTCTATTTAAAAAATCATTTTGAACGATACTTGCAAATATTACTATTTTAGATAAATTATCATTTCTTCCTTATCTTTTTTACAATTTCAATCAGCTTTTCTCGGTGCTTTATCATACACAGAACGAGTAACTATAATGCCCACTTCTGGTTCAGCTTATACTTATGTATATACAACAGCAGGTGAATTTTTTGCTTGGATTGTTGGATGGGAATTGTTACTTGAATATTTGGTATCAGCCGCGGCAATATCTACTGCATGGGCCGGCTATTCAGTACATTTTGTTCAAATAACATGTAATTATATATTCCCCGCCCGTATTGTCAATGCTCCTATTAATTTTAATGAAACTAATTTCTATTTCTATTTAACGGGAAATATCATTAACTTACCAGCTATTGTCATTGTTGTAGCACTTACAACAATGTTGATGATTACACCAAAGTATTCGATGCGCTTGGTAACAGTATTTGTTGCTATTTCAGTTACAATACTAACATTGTTTGTAGTTTCATTAGCCAGATATACCGATCAAAACAATTATCATCCATTTTTTTCAAAATATAATGGCAATTTTAACTCGATCGGCATAAGTGGTATGCTTCACGGTACAACAGTGGTGTTTTTTGCTTATATTGGTTATGATGTCGTCACAACAGCAAGTGAAGATGCAAAAGATCCAAAAAAGACAATTAAATATGGTGTTATGGGATCGTTACTAATATCAACCGTGATTTATCTTTTAGTTATTATTGTTCTTATTGGAATAGTACCTTACACACAATTAAATGATCCTTATCCATTGGCTTTTGCTCCTAATTATAATGGAATGAAATGGTTGTCTATTACCATGGCAGTTGGTGCTGTGTGCTCGACTACATCAGCTTTGCTAGTTCAACTTATAGCTCAGCTAAGAATATTTGTGGCTATGGCAAGAGATAAATTACTGCCCAAAACGTTAGAAAATAAAACTTGTAGAACAATAACAACAGGTAATTTTTGCCCGATCTACAAGGTCATAATAGAAACTTCTCATTGAAAAACTATATTTAGAGATTAACTTTACTCGAAGGAAAATAAATTATTTTTTCAGTTTCAGTTCAGTTCAATTATTATTTCACCGGTATAGAAGGAGAACATGACATCAGTTTGTTTTTCATCCTTCATTTATTTCCCAAAGATGTTATGCTGATGTTTGAATAGCATATTCTTGATTAGAATATGTTGCTCTTGTGATTAATGCAGATCCTAGAGTTTACACAGAAATGGTTGTGATGCTGACCAACCTGTTATGAAGTTCCCTTTTGTTGATAAGATCAGCAGTTACAATTTATTACTAGATAAATAAATTGCACCGTTTCTATAATAAATGGCTTATTCACACTTTTTTCCGAATAAATGGCTCCCTATCATGCAAAGAAAAAATGTCTCGTAGGAGGGAATTTCTAGCATAAATGGCTATTTTCAAGAATATATGTCCCTTTTCTCTAGCATTAATGACTAAGCCATTTCTTACATCCTAGAATACATGACTCTTGTAGTTGCATAAATGGCTCCTATCGTGCAAAGAAAAAATGTGTCCTAGGAGGGAATCTCTAGCATAAATGGCTATTTTCTAACATAAATGGCTTTTTTTCTCGAGTTAATAACTATAAGCCATTTATTACAATTTATTTTTTGCTTCCTAAATTGTAAGCCCTCGATAAGATAGGCGCGTACTTTCGTATCAGTACGATCAAATCTCATTTCAAACTAAACTGCATTTTTAAAGTGTTTGTTTCAAGACTTAAGTTAATACTTTCTATTAGTTCATTCAACCTAATCAACTCCACTTTCGCTTCAAAAATCGGAAGACGATCGAGGATTTTGAGCAGTATTGAGCAAATAAAAATATGTCTGTCTGCTTATTTCTCTCACTGTCTCACCCCTGGTTCAAATCATTTGTAGTTTTATTCGCTAGGTGTTTTGAGTTGTATATTAGCCGGTGTTGTAAGAGATAAGATAATGGAACATTCAACAACAACATTAACAACGGATTTTTTAAAGTCAACAGTGCCGAGTGAAAATAATAGTGTTCAAGCGCTAGATAATCGTTATTATGCAGAACTACCTTCAGACTTATCTTCCACATTATTCTCTCAAAGTCCTGTTATACAGCAAGAATCAGTGGCCACTAATGATGATCAATTGATTCTGACAACAACCAGCAATGTATGCCCATTGTCTTTCGATTCGTATACACCGAAGTATGTCCGGACAAATAATGCTGATACAAAACTAGCAACTGTTTCCGAAGGTAAACAAATGTTTGCATCATTTATTCTGGAAATATGATGTTTTTAGATATTTGAAGAAAAAAATTTAAGCGCTTTCACATACTAGGTTACTGAAAAAATCAAGTAATACTTGATTGTATTTAAGTATAATCAAAAGAAAAAACAATTTCTTCGAACACTTCGTGATCACTGTATGATTTACGCAAAAATAATACTTTCCTGTGAAAGCTTTTGTATCATTTTGTTTTTGTTCTAGTTCGAATTGAAGATGCGATACATGTATTATGGATTGACAGTGAGAAAGAACAGTATAAATCTGCCTGTGACGAATGGTGTAAGCAATTAAAACAATATCTTAGATACACAACATATAGGAGCACTAGTATTGGTGATGATAATAAACAATGTTTATTAAAAGAATTAAAAAATTTGAAAAATGAAGCAAAATTATTTCTCATTATGTCCGTCAATGTAACTGATTTTAAAATAATTCTTGATTTAATGAGTGATTTTAAATGTATAAGTTCAATCTATCTTTTATCTGTTGGTTATGCTGTTGGCATTCCTACTAATGATACGTATGATGCTTACTTTGGAATATTAAAACTATTATATCCAAAAATTCGTTGTATATTTCAAACAAAAGAAGTGTTGATGTATCAGTTTATATGCGAATTAGCTGTTTATTATATTCACGTAGGTGATAAGTATA